CTTTCTCTGGAGAACTTAATGTCCTGAGGGGACACTGAAACAACAGTTGCTTGTGTTGAGTGAAAAAGCGGATATGTTCAAATTACAGTAATAAAGAAGGTGCACAGCTCACTGTAGTGTACCCTGTGACCAGCAAGTTACAATAGGTAATGAACTGATGTGTTCAAAGACTCCAGCTTTCCCAATGCAGCAGGATGATATTAAGGTGCTTTGCGGCCAAACTCCCCAACACTCCAACATTTGCCATAGAGCCAGCGTAGCCTTTGGTTGCAGTCACGCGCTGTGCATGGGCCCCTTGGTCTTGCTGGCTCTGTACCTGGGTTTTCTTTTCATTAAAGCTGCAGCACTGGTGAGATGTCTTCATCTTCTCCTGAAATAGTGGCCAAATGTGGCTGTTGTCTCACACACTCTGCAGGAGCCCCACAGGAACCGGTGTCTTCAGACAGTGCCTGGTCTCTAACATGTTGAAGCCAGTGAGTGGCCTTTGAACAAACAGCTGGTGCTACAGCTGCTGCCCTGATGCTGCATGCTGCCGAAACATGCAGCTCATCCTCAGCATGGAGGAAATGGGGGGAAGGTGCCATTGGCCCTGGAGAAAAGTTCCTGGCAAGGGTCCCATCCCCAGGAGGAGGGTGATGGCTGTAGAGTCACAACGGGCTGGCAGCACAGAGGCACAGGAACCATGAAGCTGTGGGGTCCCCAAAGCCCACTGCTCTCTCTCCTGATTTGGGTGCATTGTGGATTCTGCAGGTCCTTGGGCCAGTCCTCCAGTCTGGGAGGACTTCATTCTCAGCTCTGCTTTCCTCTGGGCCCAAGGTGAGTGAGCAAAGTGGTTGGGGGGGGGGGGGGGGGTGGTGGAATTCAGAGATCCAGCTTTCCAGGAGTGAAAGGAAGTTAAGGACAACATCTCTCCCAGCTTGCGCTTTGAGCAAGTGTCAGAAAGAAAAGGAGTAAGTAAAGGATGCTGGACTGCACCAGGCCCATTTTCAGATGAACACTAGCCATAAAAATGATTGGTATTTAATGAACTGTGCAAAGTTGAACTGGTTTAACTGAAAGCATGTTTTGTAAATTGATTTCACTAAGCTGGTTCAAAATCCCCATCAAATCTTGCCCTGAGTTAATACAGAGCTGTCTCCAGAATATTACGTTATGCTCACTGAGAATAACTAAGCTAAAATCGTGACCTGATCTAAATATGTCTGTGCTATTCTTTATGCCAATTGAATAGTTATTTTTAGTTTAAGAACCAGCGATTGGTGTAACTTGTGGCCCAAGGCTATGATCATCTGTTTGTGGGAAGAGAGATATGTTAATGGTTTGAACTAATGCTGCTGATGATTTCCATCAATGAGTCTGAGATACAGAAAAAAGCCACTGAAGAACTCTCCAGAACCACAATGTCTTGTACAGAGGGACAGAGGGCGTTCCAAAAAATGCCACTGGGATATGTCCCAAAGGGTTCCAGCTCTTTCTGGCTGTGTTGTAGCAAATACTGTTCTGTGACATCCTCATGTTTTAACAGTCAAAGTAGCAGCTGGGGATAAAACACTTGCTTTTGTTTCTGAGCAAAAAATCAGTGGGTAAGAAGATAGGACTGTATTTCAGAGCAGTGAAAAGGGCCTCAGAAAGCTCTGCTTTACCTCTGCTGGATGTAAAGAAGTTGTGATGTCTCAGAGGTACCACAGAAGGAGCCAGAGCGTGCCCATAACTTTCCAAAACTCTCTGTGCTTGTGTTTGTCCCACTGTCACAACTCCTAGGCTATAAGGAGAGCTGAAGCATGTCTGCAGGGGAGTTTTGGGAGAGAATGGCTTATACTAGGTATTCAGACTGCACAGTAATTAAATTGTAACAGTAAAGCATTTAGTAAAGGTGAAGTTTAGTAGCTATCTACTTCCTTTTAGCAGATGTGTGTCTTTGGGTTAAGGCACTGCTTTGGCATCCTAAAAAAAGCTTTCCAGTAATGTTGCTTTGGTGATGTGGATAATCTTTCTTCATCTCCTCCCTTATCTAAAACACAGGCAAACTTCCCTTCTCCTCAGCAGACTTGTTTGGGTCAGGGACTGCCTCTGAGGGTACAAAAATCATACTCATCACCATACAGAACTGACCCTGGAGCTCAGTTCAGCTCTAAGAGTGCTGCTGCAGCAGGAACAGATAGCAACAGGCTGTGCAATACTCGCTAACACAGAGGGTGAAGGGAGGCTGTTTACCTGACTGCAGAGCCTGATTTTGAGTGTTCCTATAAACAACTTTCTCAGAAGCCAAGGTGAAATCTCATGCTCCGAAAGCATCTATTAGTATGTAATAATCTAATTATTTCTTCTTTTTAAATTTTAATGCAAAGGAATATATGTTTTGTACATTATACAAATCCATAAAGAGTACTAGAATGTAAGTACCAATCCTTGATTCTAGGCTTCAAAATAGAAAGGCTTTGAGTTTTCTTTTAATTTCTATTTCAAGTCTTTTCTGAATTCTGTGGAAGTTTCCCATAAAAGGGCTTTGTTTTCAGCTGTAGTTCCTGCTTTTCCCTGAGAGCGCAGTGAAGGGGATGGTTAGGTATGCCGTCACACTGAGTTGGTCATGTTAGTAAATTCTTTTCTAAAAAGAGGTGTCAGATTGTTCAGCCAGCTGAAGTAATCCAGTTGGCAGGAGAGTGACTAAATTCAATAAGCAGAATTTTAAAAACACTGTGGTTCTTTGTTTAACAGCCAGATTCTACAAAATTAGCTCCAGCTCTGAAATAATTTCTCTCCCCACCCTGCCCATATTATCCCCCTTCTGTCCTGCATGTCACTACCTCTTCTCATTGCCTTGTTTTGTTTGGTACTATTCAGCTCTGGAGTCCTTCTGCACGTCTCCTATGGTGATCTGCTCAGCACCGAGTCAAGTCAAGGCTCTTGATTTCAGCTCAGGGAGCGAGGCAGCTGGTGTCGGGTACTGCTGTCCCACTCTGCGTGCCCTATGCAGTAATTCACTTCTCTCTGGAGGGAGTGCCAGGTGTCTAAAATAAATCCTCAGCAGGAATGCATGACTTGTGCAGGCAGATGACAGAGGTTGATCTAAATCTATCTGTAGACATGGCTGGGCAGGGAGGACCCATGTCCCTTCAGCACTGGGAGGGAAGATCGTACACCCACAGCACACTGCTGGATTTTACACAGGGAAATTTTTGTAAAGGGTTGAGTTCAGTTATCTTGAGCAAAGAGCATGCTTTGACCTGTTATTGCTGTCGCAATGTGAGCATTGCAATGTGAGCACCAACCACTAGCAAATCTGGTAGAAATAAAAAACACTCAGGAAAGAGAAACTGTCTGTGCTACAGTCCTAAGTTTTCTACACTGCTGCTCCTCGCTCCTGGGAAGATGCGCTGTTCTTTTCTTTTTTTTTTCCCTTGTCTATTGGGATGGATGAGCAGACAAGTTACCTGCCTGGTGCTGCTGGCAGCTCCTGGTAGGAGTAGGCTCCACTACTGCTCAGAGATGCTTCTTAACATATTCTCCCTCTTTCCTATTTTGCCTTTCCAGAGTACAGTTTGTTTGTGCACTGACCAGGTTCAGGGTTGTACATTTCATATTGCCAGCAGCCCTGGAGCTTTTTTCTGAAGATATTTCTTCCTTTCTCTTCACCTGTGCTCCTCTTTGTACCTTTCCTACTTTGATAAAACCATCACTGTTGGTTAGTGTTTTTCTTCTTAGAGGAGAATATCACTTTGATCTGTATTGCTTGAAGCCACACAAAGTTTGTTTCAAAGCACATCCTGCAGAAGCATTCCCCAGGGAAAGGGCTCTGAGACTACTGATCACAGTTGGCAAGGGCATTTTCCCCTCTGCAGTCCTCTGCTGGCTTTCTGTCCCTGCAGTGTGTGTCCAGCAGCAACAGCTGGGAAAATAAATGGTGAAGAAAGATAGCATACAAAATACCACTCCATACTGGATACACATGTATGGCAGGCAGCTCCCTGGGAGCAGCAGCTGCCTGTTCCAGGTCTTCATTGCAAACCTGCCCACAAGACACTGTTGGAGGAACATCCCAGGATAGTGCCAGGGAAGGTGGGGGAGCAGCACAGATTCACATGCTTTCTGTAAGGGGAAATGGCTTCAGGACTGCTCTTAGAGCTGTTCTTCCTCTGAATTCACCTCTTTTTCTTGCTCTCCCTACCCCCGTAGAAAGCAGAAAGGGATCAGGACAAACTGAAGGGAGTTTTCCTGGTGCTGCCTGCTCTCCCAAGGATGGTAGGGGAGAGTGGCATGTATGTTGCCACTATGTTTGAGTTCACAAACCAGGAGAGCTGTAGGAAGTGTAAAATGTTTTGCCCAGATCAGGTTCCTTCTGAGGAGACCTGGAGGTGTGAAGCAGGGTGAATGGTCAGGCCCAGGGCACAAGTGCTCCAGCAGCAGCATGCAGAGCAAGAGCAAAGCACCCTGTGCCCTGCAGCACCTGAGCTGTTCCGTCATTTCAGGGAGGAGGCAGCCAGCCAGGCTTAGTCCCTTCAGAAAAGTACCTGGAGGAGGTCCTGTGGACTTTTATTCAGATTCATGAATAATGCAAACACTCCTGAAGGTCATATTAATGGAAAACTACAATTTTCCTATTAGCCCATATTTCAAGTCATGTAAAGATCACATGTTCAGAAATAACACAGAGAAGTATATGACTGTCTTATTTATGTGCTGCCAAGTTTTACCACCCTTTTTATTGAGTGAGCCATTTTCCTGGCTGAATATGGTGCCATCGACTGTAAGTATGGCAGAGAGCCTGACTGATGGAGAATGAAGGTATGCAGCAAGTATTGCTTGTCTCTCTCTGGCAACTGTGCTGTTATGATTTGTGTCTGTCATTCACAAATCCTTTACTTTCTTTTTCAAATGTACCTTGGTAATCTTAAAGAAGCACAGATACGACTGAAATTCTAGGCAAAATTGCACTAAACATATTACCCCTTTTGTTCTTTTCTACTACTGGCATGTGATTTATCCTTTGCTTTTCATTTCAGGTCTGCTGTTTTGTTGTTGGAGTATATTTTCTAGTCTGCACTATAAGAAAACCCATACATGAAGAAAGGAAGAAAAAAGTAGATATAAAACAAACCACAGGCATGGCCATTGATTTTTCTCGAGAATGGATGACCTGCCTTCTTCAGGTGTCCAGACCTGCTGCAGAATATGCAAGGTAAAAATAGAAAGCAGAATACTAAAACAAAGAGGGAGTAAAGAGTAATACAAGGGACTTGGTGGTTTAGATATAGACAATTCTGCTCCTCTCCAGTGACTTACAGTAACAGAGAATATCCTGCAGCCAGCATGATTTGGCCAGTAACCAAAATATAACACAGAGATCTGACAGTAGGGATTGCAGCTAGAAAATGTGACATTCTCTTTGGCGCAGCTGTCATATTATACTAAGCCAGTTACTTCCCTTTAATCCTAATTAATTCTCTTTCCACTCTGAGCCAGGTTCTCTGGTCAGCAGTAATTCCAGGGGGTCTGCTGCTGCTCTTCCTACAGGAGCCCTCCGTCTTCAGTCAGCTTGTTCCTTTGCGCTCCTTCCATAAGGAGCTAAAATCATTCATTATTTTAGCTGCTTCTCTAATATCAGTTAATCTCATTAACTGATATTAAATAGAACTCCTGCCATCCTCGCCAGCAGAAGAAATCAATGTTTCATTCATTAAAGATATCCACACTTATATAGGGAACACATGTTTGCCAGATGGTGCCAGTTCAGGGTTGCTGTCAGAGGGAGAGGTCTGCCCCTACTAAAAACAGGCTCCTGTCTTGCTGGCAAAAGCCATCCCAGCCCCTGGGTTACCCCAAGGTGCTTGCTAGTCCTCGGTGCACTAGGGCAGATGCCACTGGACCTCCTCTAGCTTGAGCTAATTTGCAACCCCAGACAGCTGAGTAATGTACAAAATGATGTTTTGTGGGAGGAATACAAGCTGATATCTAGTGTCTACATGCCATGCTCTTGTAACAGTGCTGATACAGACATTATTTTAGTCCCAACATTTTTCAAATTATGTGATTTAATGCAGTTTGCTAATACATACAGTAACCAGAAGTTATTTTAAAGGACAGTGTGTCTTTGACAGATGCTGAATATATGTTATATAAGCATTGCAAATGTTAGACAATGTATTTTAAAGTTTTAGACTGCTGTTAATTTGAACAAACAACATGTTTGTAGTCTCTGAATGTTGAAATGGTTTGGTCTCTATTTCTTGTAATTATAAAATTTCATATTTACTCAAAGTCGATCTCCATGTGCATGTTATGAAATATTTCATCCAAACACACGTACAAGATAAATGCAGTGGGAGTGCACATTGACTTGCATCAAGAAATCAAAGTGGGCATGAAGGAAAGAGAGTATGGTATGTCAAACAGCAGGTTTTTAACCTTTTTAACCGTGCAGAAAGGATTGATTAAAAGACATTATGTTTGAACTTCAGTAGAGAAAACTCTGTGAGTGTGCATGTGGTGGACAGCTATAATATTAGAAATAATCAGAATTAACATACTTTTTCTTGTTTCTTAAAGAGCATGTATTTCTGTGGAATGTTACGAGTGGAGGATAGATAATGTGAATGTGCACACTACTCCCTGTGAATGACAGTGAGCAGTATGCAGTGCATGCCTGAGTGGTTTCTTCTTCCCACATCTTGTAGTCATAGGCGTCAGGGCACTACTTACAGCTGGCAAGTGTGCTGCACTGTGTGTTACTGTCACTTGTGGGACACTCCCATCTCACATAAACCTACCTCAGCTAGGGTTTTCTCATCCGAGTCACCATGGGAGAAGGCTGGTGATTCTTCCTGCAACTGCAAAAGGTTCTGTGCAGCCTGCAAATGTCATTTTGCCTGTGTTCCATGCCACAGCCCAGCAGCAAAAGCAAGGGGAGAAGGGAAGTTGGCTGCAGCACTGTGTGGCAAGCCCAATGTTAATGAGAAAAGAGGAGGACCAGATTTAGTGAGCATTCCTTGAGCTGCCCACCTAATACTGATAGACAAGTGTCTTCAGCACTCCCTCAGCCTAGGAGCACCAGGTCTCTTTCCTTGGAACATGCCTGTTGACAAAAGCACCCTGAAAATGTCTCATTCTGCCTCAGACTCTTTCACGTGCAGCCCCTTTATGGAGTCAATCAGTTTTAGTTCATCCGCCATCTATTTTGGCACCCAAGGATCTTACCAGCCATGCAAAGTGCACAGCTTTGAAGCTGGTAGGTTTTGTGGAGCAGCAGCATGTCTTACTGTGACTATTGTGTGGGGCAAGATGGGTCACCCGTATGTTGGTATCTGTAGCATTATTTTTGTGTCTATGAAAGCTATTAATTAAGTCTTTTCCTTAAATGTCTCAGATGGGACTTCCCAGAAACTGTCTTTGGGCTGATGCTGATTGCATCAGCCAGCACATGTGCAGGGAGCAGCTTAGCTGCGTGCACCACTGAGCAGCCCAGGTGATGGCTGCAGTGCAGGAGTGCCGGGGGAGGCACAGCTCTGAAATGCCATGGATCCCAGTGGCTGTGCCTGCTATGGAGACATCCACAGAGGACCTTCTCTCAGGAGGAGCACAGTTCAGCCGTCAGCCAAGGAGCAGCGCATCAGTAAGCTGAATAACAAACCTCCAAAACCTAGCTTTTTTCTGCTCAAGAGTTCTAGAAGAATGTGAAGCCTGCACCACCCAACTAACTGCAGTGTGAATCTTTGTAAATCAGCACTGAGGCTGAGAAATGGAAGTCAGCAGGTGTAGCTAAGCCTTGTGAAAGGCTTCAGAGGTAATCCATTGACCTACTGATTAATGTCAAGCTCTTTTACCAAACAATCTATTTGAGAACTGTGTTTGTGTAATTATCGTTTCTGTTCCTTTATGGTCTGCAAAATGTTTGGAATAGCAAATACTTTCCAGAAGATTGGAAATGGTTTTGAGGTCTGATGCCTCTACTGGCAATCTTTGAAAGAGCCTGCAAGAATGTGGTTCAAACGATAGAGTCAGCCCCAAGTACTTCAGTTGCCTTGCACTGAGGAGCTGATAATGACAGCTATTGGACACACTGTTGGGCTGGATAAAACTCAGGCAAATTGTGTCCCTGTCCATGTCTTGAACAGCTTCTGAATCCTGAGGCTGTCTGTATTCTCCAGAAGAGCTCAATACAGAGAAGTCACTTTCATCATCTTGATTTGTGCAGCATTTCCCCAGTAGAGGTGCAGATCTTTGTCCAATAACAACAGCTTGCAAAAATTACTTTTTATGGAAGCTCTAGAAATAATCAACAGCTCTCCATAGTCCGAGGCCATAGGCAGGAGAAGGAAGGACCAGTGCACTGCTACACTTTATCTTGATTTGCTTTTATTTTGTACATGGCTCCAAAGCATATCCTTGAGTTTTTCCAGTCATTTTGTCTCTGACAGCTACTCCAAAACCAGCAAATATGCCTAGCAAGCATCAAATGCCCTGAAAACCAATGAGTTTTATCTTCAACCCAGATCTGGAGCAACAGTAGTGAAAAAATGCTGATTTTCTAGATTTGATCAGGTGTGTGGCAGACTACTTTGCCCAGTATGGCTGATAAGACACCTTGATGACTTCACACCCAGGAAGAGCAGCAACAACAGGTTTGGATGACAGCAAGTAATTTTTGCTCGGCACTTAGCCACATAGATACTAGCCAGCATTAATCATCTGGAGCACACAGCCTCACGGAGCTTCAGAGGAGAGGTGTCAATGCTCCTTATGCTTCAGAGGTCCCTCAGCAGCATCCTCTAAGAAAACAGGGTGAAACGAGTAGTTTAATTCTTGGTCAATAAGCGTGTTGCTACTGAAGAGGAGATTTATTCCAACCTTGAATCTGCTCTTTTCATTTTCTGTCTCTCAGCCAACAGTATCAATCACCTTACTGGGGTCTGCCCTTGCTATACTGGTGAGGGACTTTTTCCCAGCATTCAGTTAAAGCCCATTGTTCCCTGGGAGCGCTGGCCTGCCGGACTTCATCACTCCGATCACTATCAGTCCTTGCTGGACGCTGCATTCCTTTGGGATAAAGCTTTAGAAGAGCTTTTGTGTGAGCCATCAATGAGGCAAACAGCTCTGACAGCCCCTAGAGCTGGGCTTCCTTTGGCCTCATCCAGAGCTTGGCGTCACTCAGCCTAATCCAGACGCGTTTTAGTGAGGCGGTGACTGCTTTCCTTTTTACTAGTTCGTGAGGACATTCTGCAGCTTCTTTTTTTTTTGTTAATTCTTGCAAAAGCTCTCGTGGGTAGAATCAAGCACAGGAGCCTGAGCTTAATCTTTAAATGGGGTATGGAGTTTTTCTGGTATTTATGTATTTTAAACACAGTTTTAACTCTCTGCCAGGAGTGGACCACCACACTGGGGACAGTGGGTCCAAAGCAGTGACTGGGCTGAGTGGGGTAAGGCTTGCCTTGCCAGGAGGATGTGGACCTCATAGCAGCAGACACAGGGGAGGTGGGAGACTTCTGGAGGAGCGGTGGGGAGGGTCAGGTGGATGGTCCCATGTCCCCCAGCACTGTATCCATGGGGAATGTCCGCAAGGGAAAATGGGTTTGTGCCAGTTGGGGTTCAGTGCCCAGTGGAAAGTGGAGCTCAGGTTTCATGGAGTGCTTCTGGTGCAGGGCACAGCGTGCAGCTCTTCTGTTGACCTGCAGCAGCCAAAGTGCTCCCCAGTGCAGCTGTACTGGGGGTTAGCAGTAAATGCACTTGCATTGCATTAAAATTACTTTGTCAAATGTATTTGTCAGTTTTCATGTTTTCCTTAATTAAAATGTGCATCTCTATGCGTGTATCTGACCACAACTGCCATCGTATTTGGGTCTGTGTAATGATTGCTGTCCAAAGTCTTGAAATGCTTGTGCACATTCACAGTTATGTGCAGGAAAGGAATCCTGTGCAATGCAAACTCTGCATAACTTTTGTAGTGGCTGGAGCAACAGTAAAGAATTTGGGATTGGGAACTCACTGCATTGTTATTTATTAGTATTACATTCCTAAGAGGACAAACCAGGGCCTCTTTGTGCTAGATTTTGCAATTTAAGAAAGCTTTTGCTTTAATAAATTTACAGCCTAGTGGCATTGTTCTGTTCTCGATTACAAGTTGTTTCTCAGAAAACAAGTCCAGTTTATTAAAATATCTCCTAAAATAGAAATTTTATCTAGCAAAGCTGCCCTGTGCTTCCATTCTTACTGTAAAACAGTTATTTACTTCTGTAGTTGAAATTGCACATATGAAAGAAGAATGTAAAGTTTCTTTAATTTTGTTTGATGTTCTTTGTCTATTTTTGTATGAAAGTTAGGATTATGTGACCATCTTGTGGCTGTAACACTTGTCAGTTCATTTAAATGATGTCTTAATTTCTTATTTATTATCACAAAGTTTATTAGTTTGATAGTGGTAATACTCAAATTTACAATGCCTGAAAGAAAAAGCTGCAGTGTGGAATCACCTATAACCCTTAACATCAGAGAAATCACACAGAAGGGAAAACCACAGGTATCCGGGTTCGCAAGCACTCCTCTTTGCCTGTCTGTGTGTCAGAGATCATTTTTAGGTTGTTTTTCATATCATGACACAAATGAAAAGCCTTTTTTGAGAAATCTCAGAAGTGACTTAGTGTAAGAATCTACTAAGAAGTGTGTTTGAAAATCTCAGCAGTTCTCAGGGCAATGGTGAGCAATACAAATTTTGTACAAGCAGGTGACTTGTGAAAATGGGTGTCTTGGAAAGAAAATGTAGAAGGAAATCATGCAAGGATATGGGACAGGCGGGTTTATGGGGCCAGTGAGTTAGAGACTTTTACAAAGCCACCTTGTTCTTTTCCTGGGCTTTCATTTAACAAAGAAAGTAGCTGGAAAAATTGCCCAGAAATATTTGACCTTCAAAAAGGCCTCTAAGACACAATTACCTGATGTTCACTGAACTGGTTCATGTGGTTCCCACTCTAAATTATTTTCTAGTTTCACCCATGTGAGAAAAGGGGTCTGATTATACGGAGGCGGGCAAATGAGAAAAGAAACTTAAGGAAGGAGAGAAATATGCCAGGGAATTCTACTGATTGTGTTTACTTCGCGGGAAGTAAAGGGCAGGTAAGTGTAACCAGCTCAAAGTAGCTTTTCGTCTTTGAGCTTCAAAAGAAAGTAACATAGGAGATATCCGAGGTATCAACAGCACTGGATGTAAGCTGTTTCATGGAGTTGGGTAGGAATTGTAGGATACATCATACTCTGCTTTCTTACTTCAGTGGGAAATTCTTTTTTTCCCACAAGTACAACAAAAATATAACAAAACCTCACCTTATTTTCCCCCAGTGCCTTTCTTTCCTTCTGCCCTTTGTTGTCTTGCACACAGGAGGTCACTTGGCTGCCAGTGTTCACCCAGGGTCCAGCCATGCCCTTCTCTGCAGTTTCAGCTCTTTCCACTGCATGCTTCAGACACTGGAACAAAGTGAGTGAGTTATCTAAGGCTGCAATCTCTATTAGGCTTTAGGCAAAATACTTTGGTTTTAAGGAAATAAATTCTATGTTTGGCACAAAAGTGCCTCTGCCATGCACTCTTTTCAGTGGAAGATATAACCAGGTGCACATAAAAGTACGACTTCAATAGTTTAGTATTGGCAGAGACACAATGCTCCTCTGCTCTGAACTGCCAGCAGAATTGCATGGCTGTGCAGGGAGACAGGCCTTTGTGCAATGTGAAAGCAGCAGCTCCTGAAAATGGGAAGACATTGTGAACCTGGGGAACTGGATTTCCATCTTTGATGAGAGATTATAGTGTGCGATAAGTACATTTGTATGGAAGAAAACTATTTTAAATAATTGGGACCTATAGACTTTCATGAATAAAAGCAAGCAGTCAGTACCCCTCCTGTCTGCATTACTTAACAAAAGGAACAAATTCTCTGAGACAGGGTAGAAAGACAAGAGCATCAATGTGATGATAATTGTGCCACTGAAGCAGTCTTTCATTATTTGATCAAGTTTCTTTATGTAAATAAAATATTCAGATTTCACATTTGGAATTGTGACTTGAAAATTGAAACTCTACATGCAGACAGGTAGCAAAAAGAGGTTTTGAACACTGCAGTCTTTCAACCTTGTGTTACAAAAGAGCAGGAGCCTCCAGTATCCATGGGGCATCATAGCCTGTTCTGCCTGAGAAGTCCTTTGAAGACAGGTTTTGACTGTGTCCCACTATGTGCCGCAGTGTGTATCTGATTGTTGAATTTTTCTCTTGGATATTTTAACCATGGTTCACTAAGGACAAGTGGGCTCATACTCCAAGGCATGGCACTGGCACTTGGAACTGCAGGTAGGCGTGAAGTTGCCCTGTGAGCATAGCACCTGCCAGCATGGCACCTGCAGCAGCCAGTACATGCCGTGGTGTGCCCTGAGTCGCCCAGCCCAGTTCCTGTTGGGACTCATGCTCCTGGCTCTTCTCTGCATCTCTCTGCTGGGGTGAGACAGCGTGGTGCTGCAGACTTGCAGCAGTAGGGTGATGCTGTGGTTTGTTAACCTGGTACTCGCAGTGCTCAGCTGGAACATGGGGAAACCTGGGATCCCATTTCTCCTGTGGCTGGGAGGGCCAAGGACTTCTGAGCACAGCTGGTTTGCTGCATGGAAGCCCCTGCCCCAGAGGAAGGAATCGGTCACCCCAGCAGACACTGTTTGCTTTGCACAGCTATTGAAGCTGTCCACAGGACTGGAGGCAGCAGCAAGACCCTTGGTGATGCCCCAGGGTTACTGGTGGCATTGCCTGGGACTTCCACACCCGGTGGCAGTGGTGCTCCCAGCGATGCTGTGGTGCAAGGTGAAGCACCCACAGCCAGAGGCTGTGTGCTGCACAACTTCTTGCCTTAGTACTGAGGCATGACTGGAGTGAGCAAGGTGTGGGACACAAGGCCCTCCAGGCAGAGTCTTAATTAGATCCCTAATCTAATCTGATTAGATAGATGAGCTCTATCTAACCTGTGGTCACCAGGCAAGAGGATGTTGCTTGTAGGCTGAGGCACCCACCTCCAGGAGGCAGTTCATGGCTGTGAGTGATGCCTCCATGGGAAGCAAAAGTCGGTGGTGGCAGGTGAGCAGAGACACAGTGAACTGTGGAGCGACCATCTGAGCACAACTATCCAAAAAGGCTGGAACTATCACACCTTTCTTGTTGACGTGAGATGACTCCACTTGGCACTATGTGGGGTCAACATGCCAAGTTTAATTTTGGATTCCAGTGTTTCCACAGAATTTTGGGACTTTGGAAATGTTCTGGTGTTTTACAGCACAAGTGCATGAAATAAAATCGTCCTTCAGGGACAAAACAAAACATGAAAAATAAGTGCTCATGTAAGGTCTGCAGGTTGAGGCGGTCTCAAAGTGGTGGTCTTTCTGCTTGTTTTACATCAAGTTCAGGAACAACTCTGAGGAGGATTTGCCTCACTTTAGGAAGCAGAAAAAAATTGTGTGCTTTAAATAAAAGAAGAATCTCTGAATAAGAAGGTTTTACAAAAAGCCGTTTATTTTCCTAGGCATGACATCCAGATCAAAAATGAGTGGTGATTCAGGAAAGCGCTCAAGCACATGGTTACAACAACTTCCAGACTCCCTCTGACAGCAGCTCCACTGGAAGGCCAGTTTAGTTTCAGCTCATTGTAGCACAAATACGGGCTCATGCTTCTTTCGCTTGGAGGCTGAACAATGCGTGCATGTCCATGCTCCTGAATTCATGCCTGTTCTGGCAATTTGTTTGCCTGATCCTTAAATTTATGTGTTCAGCTTGGTCTACGCCAGCTTGGTCTGCCTCAAGCTCTGACAAGCCTATGGCAATTAGCAGTGGCCTCAGATGGATGCCTCAACTTACCAGAGACAGTGTGGAAGTTTTCAGCCTTCCTGCAGTGCCTGCTCCTTGTTAACAGCTGATCCCTAAAAGCAGCTGACATAAGGGCACTGAGGAGTGTATGGCTTTACAGAAATACCCTGCATTTCTGACTAAGGATATGTGCTGAGTAGTTAAACTATGGCAGAGACACTGAAATATTTGAGAGGTTTCTGCTGGAGCCTGTTTTTAACTCTGTTTGGAAAAGGGCTGTAGTTAGTACATGCTTTTAGCTTGAATTTGCTCATCTTAGGTCGTGGAGGAAGAATGGAAGAAATGTTCTGAGAGCAAATTCCACGTACATCTTCTGCCATCTGCTAATAGCATGTGTGAACAGCTCTGCTGCCAGAAACTGAGGAACAAAGATAACATCATCGTTGAGGAAAAGTGCACTGCTCAGAAAATGAGACTCTTATTCCAGATGACTTGATAGCTCAGCACATTCTGGGGCCAGGTTCTGGTGACCAACACTTGTATAGGCCCAAGATAATGTCGCTCAAACTGGCATGAGCTCTTACAGGGGCAACATTATTCCTGCTGAGCTTAAAGAACAAATAAGTTTTATAATCCATTTAGTATGATGGCCTTGCTGGAATCCCAGAAATGAGATTACTTAGGGCAGGAGGAAGGTTGAAAGCTGAAGAGCTTCTCCACTGAAACCACATGCAGGCAACTTGCAGAAAAAAATGTGAGGAGTCCAGGCAGCAGCGAAACACTGAAGAAACTGCCAGCATTAACCTTCCATGTCTCTCTCTGTGTCAAGTCTCATTTGTGCAATGCATGTATCAGTGCATCCTTTAACACTGCAGCAATGGCAATGGGATCAGAGCCACCCCAGTCCCAAAGCATGAATCCCTGCATGCAAGCCACA